TCTCTCTCACACACACACACACACACACACACACACACACACACACACATACTTTTACAAATACTTTGCTCAAAAATAAATCACCAAAAATATATAAAAACATTTATTAAACCCAAAACTTTAGGCACAGTTTTGGTGAAAAATTTTCAAAGGATTTGTGGGCTCGAGAAGTGGTGGGTATGAGAGAGATATTGAATCTGTACGCCGGAGAGAGAGAATTATGAATAAACCTATTTACCGCACATATAAAGTATTTAAGAATAACATTTAAATAATGGCAAATTTGATTCATTAAGCACACCATAATTTACAAATCTTGTTAAGAGAATTCATTTATTCTAAGCATAATATCAACAATTCCCACATGATAAAGTTTGCAATAACTTCCTAGAATTTATTCATGTATAATATTAGATTCCATAAAAACAACACATAGTTAATAAAAACCCAATACAATGTATGAAAAATAAAATTATAATAATTTAAAAGTATAATCTACAGACAGTCTGAGCCGATTTTATCTGTCGGTAGACAAAACATGTTTATTACTAATATATAATAATTATTATTTTAAATGTAAATATAATGCATGTGTGCGCGCGTGGGTTGGCTTGGTAAATTCAATAACAAACTAGCTCAACATATACACAACATGTTAAATACTTATTCAGATTAATACAAAAATTAACATAAAATAAAATACATTATGTCAGACATGGTAAATATTATTAGAAATAAAACAACGTCATCATATGATAGACTTACGTAACGGAATGCGATGCCATTTCGTGGCCCCTGGCGTACAGTGTCTGCACCTGTGAATAGTCGGTCCACTCGTGGGACACGTAAAATGTGGCCAAAACTGGACACCCGTTGGGATTATTGCGGTCGCTATTGAACAGCTCGTCATAGATATCCCAATTGAGATCATTGACCGAATCGTCAAACGTTAGCACAACTATTTGCGGCGTCTGTTTCAATGGTAGACCACCTGTCCATCGGGTCCGGCCATACAGTCAGCAAATTTAGTCATTTATTAGCAAAATAAATACGAGCTGTTGTTTATTGGTTAGCACTTACCCGGTATATCAGTGCCACCGCACCGACAGTCCGGCGTCCGACAGTGCTGTGGGTTACACTTATCGGCCTTCGCATAGCTGGCCGTCTGTACCGATGGGTTGGCCTCGTATTTGACATTTTGATACCACTGTCCGTTCGGCGCCACTGTTTTGGGCGCCGCCTGTTGTTTCGGTGCTTTCATTACGGGTTTGTTTGCTTTGGCCGTCCCTTTGATACGTATACGGGGTTTGGTTGTAGTTGTTGTGGTAGTGGTGGTGGGTATGGGAGGCGGCGCTACAAATGGCCATTTGGGCGGCGATGCGGTGCTAGTAGTGGTCGGGACGACCACTTGTGGCGGTGGCGGCGGTAGGGGTGCGAACACAACCGACTGTTTCCACCCGAACACACCGCCCGGTGCCGTACGTTTGGGCGGCGGCTTATAGTCCGTGATTATTACCTTCGGTCGACTGTATGTCTGATTTTTATACCACTTATTGTCGGCTAAATTGTAATGAAAATGAATTAAATTAGATTTTTAAATTACAAAAAAAACCATGAACAATTCAATTTAATAAAATAAGTTAATTAATGATTAATTATAAAATGATATTGGTGAATTCGCTTATTTGTTCGAGCCATTCAATAAATCACTTTTGTCTCATTAATGTAAAATATATTTCTATTTTTAATAATTACAGTTTGACAAAATAAATAATTTTTAAATATACTATAATCTAAATGTCAATATTAATAATTTTAATATTTTGTAATTATTCTGGTGGTATTAGTTTTTTAATTTTATAATATATTAAAGTATAAATTATATATTTATAAAAATTTGCTAATATAATTTTTAATAATATTAAATAAATTATTTAGCTAGATTATAATGAGAAAATAAATAGAGTTTATGTTAATCATATTAATATTAATTAAACATAATTGTTAATTGTGTTAGAAAACTGTTATGTCATACCCGGCTGCTTATTACCCACGAAAATAGGTGTCTCAGTGAATGCATTGACCATTTTATTATTATTATTATTATGATCACGCTGATTTTTAACAATGGCATCTGTGTTTAGCACAGGCTGTTTGTCCACAGATTTACCATCATTATCAGACTTATCCCTATCACTACTGGCCATAAAATGCACAGATTTATGATCACTATTACTCTTATGCTTTTCATTTTGATCACTATTTTTATCATGATCACTACCGGTGCCAAAATCTTGCTCAAAATCCCTGACCAGCTCACCATCGCTGTCGCCCTCTTCGCCCAACACCTTAACCTTATAGGTTTTGCCATCAAAATCATTGTCATTCAATATGTAATTGGGTTTATCATTATTCATATAGTTATCAATGATTGAGTCCCTAAAGTCTTGTGCCAGTGATTTCTGCCTGAGTATAGTATTGGGCACATCATCTCTAAAGTCGTCCATCACTTGATATATGGACGGACTGTCCGACTCTGAACTCTGCACACCTCCCTGTCCTCCCTGTCCGGCCTTTTTAGGCTTATTCTTATGGCTCACAAACTTTTTTATAACAATCTTTTTCTTAACGGCATTTCTCGGTGTCGACTGAACTAAAGTTCCCACTTTCTGGTCATTTTTGCTGTTATTAACATAATTATTGTTAGATTTGCCGCTACCGGTGCTGACGGCACCGTACGTGGCCTTAGGCTTGCCATCAGTGCCATCACTGGCCGTCGACTTACTGTCGACCACTGACTTCAGATACGGACTGTTGTTATTTTTGTAGTGAATGTTAGTCTTAATCGGTTTAAACTTTTTATAGTTAGTGGTGTTAGGGATGTATGTCTTGGCCACCGGCCGGTCGTGCCGTACAACTGCCTCAGCTCTGGGCCCTGCAATTGCAATCGGGTAATTGTAAAACACATGTGCCATTCAATTGCATCAAATAGACATTTGATTGTGGTTAAAAATTATTTTATTAATTTTTTTTAGTAATTTGTTATTTTAGTTATATTTTTAGTTAATTATTAATTAAAATGTTAATAAAAATTGTTTAATTTTTTTAGTCAAATGTTTAGTAAATATCTTAAAAATATTCATCGTTAAAAATTAATCTCTAAACTAAACATATTTGTAAAATTATATATTTAATTAGAATTTGTTTGCACTGGGTCATTCATAAAATAATTTTCGTACACATTATGGAGTTGTTTAAATTCTTTAAAACCTTTTTCAAACTCATCGTTACCTAAATTCTGGCCGTCGGGCGCCGCGGACGGGTTGGCCGAGCCCTGGAGTCGGGCGTATTGGGGACTATTGGCGATATACGGGGCCCGAGAGTTCCACTTGGGCTGATGGTTAGCGGGTGGGGCTCTGGGCACAGGTTTTACCCGCAAATACCCATTCGTCGGTGGGTGCTCTGGGCGGCTGAACCTTAGGCTGCGCGCGGACCTCATCGTCGTCGTCATACGTGACTACTTTATTAGGGCTGTTGGGTGGGGGCAGTTGCGTAGGGGTCTCAGCGGGCTGTTCACCATCATCATCGTGATGGTGGTGGTGGTCATCTTCGTGGTGGTGATGATGAGGAGTATCATCGACCAGATCCTCATCAGTGTGCGGATGGGCCGCCTCTTCGTCGTCTTCGTAGTAGTCGTCGTACTCTTCGCGCTCGTCCTCTTCGTCATCCTTGGGCTCCGGTCCAGTGTTGGGACTGTTGTCCTCCCGGAGCTGTTTCTCGGGGTTCCGGAAGTCGGTGTCCGCTTTGATGAACGCCTCGTCCGGCAGTTTAGGCACGTCTTTGCTATATTCGGCGCCGTCTTTTGGCGACCAGTGATACTCATTCATCTCGCGTGAGTCCGAGTCGCCCGGCAGCCAACCCATGCGCTTCACCGACGGTGCCTTCGATCGGTCGCCCGGAGCGCTGTTGACCACACGCCTAGGCGGTGGGGCCGCCTCTTTGACCGGTTTGCGGCGTACGACAGGCTTGGGCTGTGGGTTCAGCTCCTGTTCGTACTCGTAATAGTCGGGCACATCGTATTCGTATTCAGGTGGAGGGGGTGGGGGTCGGGCCCCTGGGTTGGCGTTATGCTCAGTATTGGCCGGTGCTCTGGAGACGGGTCCCCGCGAGACTGTCCGTCGATTGCCGCCCGTTATTGAGGCAAAATTAGGGTTCCATTGCGGGGAATCCTGTTTGGGAGCCCCGACCGAACCCGACTGAAACTTCTGGTTATAGTCCCGCCCGCTATCGCCGCTCGGGTCGTCATTATCCCGATTGTTCTCGTCATTCAAGCGATTGGTTTCGTCAAAATCACGCGAATAAGCGTTTTTCTGAATGTCGGGGTTTCGTCGGGTATTCACTTTAGGGAACAAAATATATAAATATTTGATTAAAAATGTTTTCAACACTTGTTTTAAACACTTAAAATAATTAACAAAAAATGAATATTTTTAATTAATAGGCACACAGAATATATTGGCTATTATTGATATATGTGGTGAATAGTTACCCCGTTTGCCGCCCCGATCGCACTGCACATTGCGAGGCCAGTCACACGTTTTGAGATACGTGTTGTAGAGCAGGCCGTCGTCGCACCGTTGCTCGAGTGTCCTCCCGTGATCGCACACGTAGTACTTTTGGCAATCCTGGCCGTCCGGGTAGTGACCAAACTTTTCCGGACATTTAAACCCCGATTCTTGAGTGTCGGCGCCCGATATGACTGTGAATTATAATGTTTAAAATTAATTAGGCTTGTTTAATTGGTGTTGTAAACTTTTAGCTAGTTTAAATTGGGTTAATATAATTTAATAATAGGTATTAATTATTGTTATTCTAACATGTTTGTTTTATTTTATAATGTTTGCTGCAATAATATTGTCATGTATAGAAACCTATGAAATAAATAATCCTAATTACCCTAATTTTGATTGGCTACCAAGGCTATTTAAACGATGCGATCTTAATCTTATGATTATCATTTATTAAATACATCTTAATT